CTCTAATTTCAACTTTCATGGTCTTAGCTCCCCGCCCCAATATGGAGTGTCTTACAAATTTTCATGTCATCCTTTCTCATGGATCATGCTAATCTTCTCATCCCTGCCTAATGCATTCTCTTCTTCCCTGCCTCCACTCTGCTTTTTCCTTTCAGTTCCTCTTCCCATACCCTAGCAGCCTCTGTCTCTTCTCCTTTCTTCATTTCCACTCCCCCCTTCTCCTCTCTTCTCCTGTCTTCTCTTCTCCCTCTCTCCCTCTATTTTTCTCTTTCCTTCTTCCATCCTTCCCTTCCTTCCCTCCCTTTATTCCCTCCCTCACTCCCTCTTTCTCTCTCTCTGTTTCTTTTTTCTTTCTTTCTGTCCTTTCTTTCTTTTCCTTCCTTCCTTCTATCCTTCTTCCCCCTCCATCCCTTTCTTTTTCTTTTTTGGTTTCCACAAATATGGAAGAACACATATGATAATTTTTTATTCAGGGTTTGGTTAACTTCATCTACTTTCCTGAATATCATTTCATTTCATTCTCTTTTTAATGACTGAACAATACTGCAGTATGAATGTATAGCATATTTTCTCTATGCATTTATTTGTGGATAGACATTAGGCTGACTCCATGACTTGGCTCTTGTGGGCAGTCTGCAGTAAACATGGATGTGTATGGGTTTCTATTGTATGCTGACTTGCTTTCTTTGGAGTATCTATTCAGGAGTAATAAATCTGGATCCTATAATGGTTCTAGTTTTAGTTTTTGGAGGAACCACCATACTGATTTCCATAGTGGCCATACTAAAAGCAGTGTAGTGCCTTTCTTTCTCCTTATTTGCTATTTTATTCTTTGGAAGTTTATTTTTTCTTATCCTTACACTACAGACAAGCATCATTGCAAGTGAAAGTGAATTTATGTTACTCCTTTATTTATTTGATTATATATTTGACTACTGAATTAACTATTTAATCATATATTTAAGTGTTTATTTTCTTGAGCTGATACTGGGGCTTGAACTGAGGGACTGTTGCTTGGCTTTCTCATTCAAGGCTGGTACTCTACCACTTGACTTTCACTTTCAGCTTTTTAACTGGAGATGAGTCTCCTAGACTTTTCTGCCCTGACAGCTTCAAGCTGCAATCCTCAGATCTCAGCCTCCTGAGTAGCACCCAGTGCCATTTTATTTTTATTTTATGTATTTATTTTTGCCAGTCCTGGGGCTTGAACTCAGGGCCTGGGCACTGTCCCTGAGCTTCTTTTGCACAAGGCTAGTGCTCTACCACTTGAGCCACAGAACCACTTCTGGCTTTTTCTCTTTATGTGGTGCTGAGGAATCGAACCCAGGGCTTCATGCATGGTAGGCAAGCACTCTACCACTAAGCCACATTCCCACCCCATTGTTGAATTGTTATATGTTCTTCATATTGGTTCTCTGTCAGATGAATAGCTGGCAAAGGTTTACTTCCATTCTGTAGGTTGTTTTTTCTCTCTGTTAATTATTTCCTTTGATGTATAGAACTTTATGTTATAATACTATTTTTCAGTTCTTGCCTTTATTTGCTGAGTCATTTGAGTCAATTCCAGGTTCTCTTTGCCTGTGCCAACATTTTGCAGAATTTTCCCAACACTTCCTTGTACTGAGGTCTTTGATTCCTTTTCAGCTGTTGTACAGGGAGAGAAACAGGGATCTAGTTTCAACTATCCAGCTCTCCAGCATCTCTGGTTGAAGAGGCGATTCCATTCTTTTTACAGCTGAATAGCATTCCATGGTATATGTACAACATTTCCTTTTTCCATTTATCAATTGATGGGCACTTAAAGGTTGATTTCAGTGTTTTGGCTATATTGTGAATAGTGCTGAAATAAACATGGGAGTACAGATGCCTTTCACATGCTGATTTGATTTCCCTAGGATAAATCCTCCATAGTGGCATTGCTAGATCATTTATACTTCTATTTTTAAATTTTAGAGGAACGGCTATATAGTTTTCCCTAACGGGTATAATAATTCACATTCATAACAGTATACTAGTGTTTCCTTTTCCCCAAGCCATCACAAACCCTTCTCCTTCTTTCCTTCCTTCCTTCCTTCCTTCCTGCCTGCCTTCCTGCCTTCCTGACTTTCTGCCTTCCTGCCTTCCTTTTTTCTTGTGCTAGTCCTGGGGCTTGAACTCAGGGCCTGGGAAAGGCTCTTGAGCATTTTTGTTCAAGGCTAGCAATATACCACTTGAGCCACCACATCACTTCTGGCTTTTGGGTGGTTAACTGGAGGTAAGAGTCTCAGACTTTCTTACCTGGGCTGGCTTCGAACCATGATCCTCAAATCTTAGTCTCCTCAGTATTTACAAGTCAAGGTGTGAGCGACCAGCGCCTAGCTACTGGTTTTCTTGGTTCTTTTTTTTTTAATTTTTTTTTTTTGGGGGGGGGGGGTTGGTGGTGAGGCCTGAACTCTGGGCCTGGGTCCTGTCCTTCAGCTCTTCAGCACAAGGCTAGCGCTCTACCGCTTGAGCCATACCACCAATTCTGGCTTTTTCATTTTCTGCTCATGTGGGGCTGAGGAATCAAACCCAGGGCTTCCTGCATGCAAGGCAAGCGCTCTACCACTGAACCACCTTCCCAGCCCTCTTTGTTCTTTTTGAGAATCACCTTTCTTAATGTGATGAGGTATATCTCATTGTGATTTTGGTTTGCATTTTACTGATGATCAGTGATATTGAGAGTTTTTCACATATCTACTGTCCATTTGTATATCTTCTTTTCAGAAATGTTGATTTTGGTATATTATCCTACTTTTTAATCCAGTTATTATTTGTTATTGAGTTTTTTAGAGTTCTTACATATTTCAGATAATAACCCCTTGTCAGATACATAGTTTGCTAATGTTTTCTCCCATTCTGTAGACTCTGTCCTTACTTTGTTGCTTATTTCTTTGTAGAGCAGAGACTCTTTAGTTTAGTGAAACCCCATTTGTCGGGTTTTGCTTTGATCTCCTGTGCTTTTGGGGTATTGTGTATACTAACATCTTAAAGAATTTTCACTATGTATTTGTCTGGGAGAACACTTCTGCCCAAACCGTCTCAAACTGAGATTCTTCAGCTCTTAGCCTCTGGAGTCTCTTTCTGTAGCCTAGGCTGCCCTTCAACTTGTTATCCTCTTGCTTTCTACCTGAGTGCTGGCATTGAAAGCATGCACCATCATACTTATTTTGTGTTCATTTTTGTAAATGATGAGAGGTTAGGAACTATTTTATCCGGAAGCGTTGTATCTTAAACTGACATGTTGAATTGAAACACCTTTGCACAATTACTTAAAGATAATTTAAAAAATGAAACGAAAAAGATAAAAAGGGTCTCCTTTCATAACTTTGAATGTGAACATAATTATTTTCTTTTTTCAGGTTAAGAAAATTTCTGGATTTCCTAAATTTATACACACAGTATTTAAGAAATTTTTTTCCCATGAAGTAGGATACATTTTAACTTGTCTATAGTTATTTACTTCTAGTAAGTTGTATTTTAAAAACTAACTGAGGCGATTTTATGTAGAATTACTGTGAATTGCCTTAAAATTGTTACCATAGAGCTCAGTGGAATTATGGATTCCAGTCTAGGAGTCATTCTAAAGGCTCTCAGCAAGTTCTACCAATATATGTTGATGACCTGCACACTGCCTCTTTAGAGAGTTAAAAACACTCCTCACTATAAGCTCAGGATATAGCATACAGATATCCAGAGAATTGAGCAACATTAGGGCAAATTACTGTGAGGTCATTAATGGACCACAGTCTCTTGCTTCAGGACCACTTCCAGTGTTTCCAGTCCTGATTGCTCCCTTCTGCCTTTCAGAGACCTATGTCACCCACTTAGATGTCTCTCCTGGTTTGTGGGAATCCTGCCTTTGAGATCCTGCTGTTCCAGGCCTTCTTTTCCTTTGACAAAGCTGTTTTCCCCAAGAGCCCACCTTCCCAGCTCCTTAGAGTCCTTGTCCTGGACAGCATGGCCTCCCTCTCCTTCACCGGGCCTCCCTCCCTGTCCACTCTTCTCAGGGCATAAAAACATGAAGATGTGCCTCATGTTTCCAAAGTCTCTCCCTGTAGTTCCCATTTCAGTTGTCTTCTTTGACATCCTGACTACAGTCTAGTGAGGGGCTGTATTGCTCCTGGGGCCTGGTGTGTGAGAGGGTCAATAACTGCCCTCCTCCCTCAAGAAAGGAGTCTTTGACCAATAAATATGAACATACTATTTTGGTTCTTCTACAGTTATGATTCTAATTTTTTAGCTTGAAATTTTATTTGCTCAATTGAGTCTAGAACCTTTCTCCCCGAAGATATACAAACCTCAGAGTGACAAGTAATTTGTAAGGACTTGAAACAATGTGAAGGGCCAGCCCTGTGTGAGAGCAGGGCACTGGGTCTCTGTGCACAAATCCAGAGAGAACCTCACTTGAGGCCTAAGCTTACACACAGAACTGGACAAAACCGGGAGCAGTGGCCGCTGGGCCTGCACTGTCAGCTCCAGTGTCATGGGTCTGAGTAACTCACCTTAGCAGAACTCTGCAGATCATCTGATTTCTAGGATCTCCTATGACAAAGTGGAGGATTATCCTTTCAGGTGAGTACTTGCTAGGTATTCCTCACAGCCTGAGCCACCCAGAGCCTGCAGGAACTTGACAGTGATGGAGACTGAACTATGTCATGGGGAGAACGCAGGGAGAACGTCATGGATATTCCTGTCACCCAACAACAGTGCCAAAGCATCGTGGATTCAGCAGAGCAGGGTTCAGGCAATGACCCTCTGGCTGGGCTGGGGAGCAGTCTAGCTGAACCCTGGCTTTGGCTTCTGGAGGCCCAGTCCTGGGAGGTTCCTGGCAGGGGCTGCATTGATTGTTACTCCTCCTAGTGGGTGGGGTCCCAGCGCTAAATCCAGGCTTTCCTGATTGGCAGAGGTGGTGCACGGGGCGGCGCCGGGAGGCACGGGGCGGGCCAAAGACTAACTGCAGCTTGGGCAAAGCAGATCTTTCTTCCTCAGTTGGCCTCAAGGGCTGCTGGAAGCCAGTCGGGGCGAAGTCAGTCTGCTCAGTTCACAGCACCAGCACCATGCCTATGACACTGGGTTACTGGGACATCCGAGGGGTGAGCGAGGGGTCCCCGTGGAGAGGGGTACAGGGGCGCGGGGTGGGAACACGCTGAGTAAATGGGGGCTGCTTCTGGAACAGTAGTTGCTGGATGGAATCTGCTGTTCTGCCCTCCCTCTTCCCCGTGTGTGTGTGTGTGTGTGTGTGTGAGAGAGAGAGAGAGAGAGAGAGAGAGAGAGAGAGAGAGAGAGAGAGAGAGAGAGAGAGAGAAGATAGAGAAATAGAGAGAGGACGTTAGGCATAAACAAGTTTCTGAGCACCCCTCCTCCCTCCCAATGTCTGACTTGTGTCACCTCCCATCTCTCCCAGCTGGCCCACGCCATCCGCCTGCTTCTAGAATACACAGACACAAGCTATGAGGAGAAGAAATACTCGATGGGAGATGGTAAAGACACTTCCTGGGCAGAATCCTGACTCCTGCGCTGCCCATTGGAGCCCTGACACCTTTACAGTGGTCACCTGTTGCTCAGCTCTGCAGGTCTCCTAGTCGCGTGCAGCACCTGCCTGTTCAGGAAACTCTTGGAGGACCCAGTTTTATTTTCCAAGGAAGGGGCTGGGAGTGGAGGGCTGTCTGTAATTCCGTTTGGTTTCCTGAAGTGCTGACTTAAACGTTTTTGAGCCTGGTCTTGTAAATCTCTCTTGCATTCTTTGTCCTTGTAGCCTTGGAAGGTGGGACACAGCTGGTCAGAGTGCAGATCCCCTGCCTCAGGGGGTCCTGGGGAAGGAGGGCTGGACTCAGGGAGGTTTGTTTTCACTTGATCTTGTCTACCACAGCTCCTGACTATGACAGAAGCCAGTGGCTGAGTGAGAAGTTCAAGCTGGGCCTGGACTTCCCCAATGTAGGTGCAGGGGAAAGGGTGGTCTGGGGAAATATGAGTGACCCTCTTGCATCACCTTTTCTAGCTTGTAGGTTTTAGGATCAGTTATTCCAGACTGTCTGTGTTGTGTCTCTGTGATGCTCCATGCCCCAGCCCTTGCATTCTATCTGCTGTGTATTCATGGAGGGCTCAGCATGGCAGGGCACACTGTGTCTGCTCTAACCCAGGGAAGGGCTGCTTGGACCTGGGGCCCCTTGTGATCTTCCCTGCTTGTCCATCCAGCTGCCCTACTTGATAGATGGAGCTCACAAGATCACCCAGAGCAATGCCATCCTGCGCTACATTGCCCGCAAGCACAACCTGTGTGAGTGGGGGTGGTGGCTGGGTGGGTGTGTAGGGGTGGGAAGTGGTTATCCCTTGGGCTTGTTTGGGGTGGGGTGGAGAGGATGCAACTGAGTTGTGTGGCTGCAGGTGGGGAGACAGAGGAGGAGAAGATTCGTGTGGACATTTTGGAGAACCAGGCTTGGGACACTCGCATACAACTAGGCACGATTTGCTACAGCCCTGATTTTGTGAGTCTTTCCTTATCCTGAATGAATTATGGTTGGGTTAGGGTTCTAGACCCTCAAATTCTCATCTGCTCTGGTTCTGTTTGTCATCTGAACTCTCTGAACTCACTGTGCAAGTACTGTTTCTAACTACCAAATAGAGTAAATCTCAAATCTAACATCACATCAGATGCAACTTACAATTAATTTCCACTAACTCTTAGGATGCAGCTCAGCCTCTCCAGGGAAAAATTCAGTACCTGGACAGTAAAGTTTGTGTTCAGAATTCCCCAGCTGAAATCACTGATTTCTGCCCTGAACACTAACTACATCAGTGATCCTGGAATACATATCTTTAAAGTAGGAAGAAGAAGAGGACAATTGAGCAGGAAGGGCACTCTCCCCTGGGAACTTTTTCCCAGTGGTTTTCCCAGAGTGCCGGTCCCCTTAACACCCACAAGAATGAGCTGGCTTTCTGGAAAGTCTACATGGATGAAGCGCCTCTCATCCTTCCCCTTTTCTTCCAGCTCCACAAATTCACTTTCCTTTTGTTTTGTTTTTTAATGTTACAGAAGTCTGTGCCTTCTCACTGACCTTGCACTATGTAGAACATCCAGCTTTTATTCCCCTGAGTGTTTTCCATTGTTTGCATCCTTGAGTCTGCCTGAGTTCATAGCTTGATGGTGCCCGCAGCACTCTTGGGCCTCAACCATAGGAAGTGTCTTGTACATCAGTGGTGACAGATGGGGGACAGTGTTGGATTCCTCTCGGGCTTCTCTTCACCCCTGAAATATGGGCTCTGACAAGACACCTATTTATTTAAAAAATGGTGATGCATTCAATAGAAGCTTGAACCCTAGAATAGCCCCAGTTACATGGGAGGTAGCTGTTCACTCCTTCCTAGGCTGGGGTCTTCTCAATCCAGCTGAGAGCAACCTCTGCTGGGGGCAGCTAGGGCTTGCATCTGCAGGTGCACTGACTGCTGTTTTCTTCCTCAGGAGAAACTGAAGCCTGAGTACGTGGAGGGCATTCCTGACAAGATGAAGCTCTTTTCCCAGTTCCTGGGGAAGCGGCCATGGTTTGCTGGGGACAAGGTAAAGGGAAGAGTCATGCTTAGGAGAACTTGTTTTTCCTCTTGTTCATGAAATTTCGGCCCATTCATTCTCAGCTTTCTGCAGATCACCTTTGTGGATTTCCTGGCTTACGATATTCTTGACCAGCACAGAATGTTTGAACCCAAGTGCCTGGATGCGTTCCCCAACCTGAAGGACTTCATGTCCCGCTTTGAGGTGACACCTCCAGTCCTCCTTCCTCATGGATGAATTTCTTCCCTTCCCCCTTTCTATGATGCCTCCGTAGTCCTGGAGCTGAGAGAAGAATAACTAGGGTTTACAGCACACTGGCTTTCTGCTAGCCCCTGTGCTTGGCAACTTGCATCAACTGAGACAAGTTTACCATGATAACATTCCTGGGGGGTGGTTAGATCAATCCATCCCATTAGACAGATTAGGAACCTGAGAATGTTCAATGTCCCAGTGCCAGGGAGGCTGTGTTGGATTGTGAGCCTCTGGTTTAGCCTAAAGGCAGCCATCAGTGGCTGTCTGCTTTGTAGGGGAAGGAAAATCCCCAGAGCTTGTGCAGCTTGAGTTTCCACCCTGTAGAGAAGGAGGAGGAGTCAGCAGAGTGTGAGCAAGTGGCACTGGGAGAGTGAGATGAGTTGGGATTGATAGGAAATACCAAGACACAGACAATATTCACACCTGCTCTGTAGGAAGCTTTGCTTGGTTGGATCCCTGGCTAAGGAAGCACAGAGACCCCAGCACTATGGTTGGTGTTGGACTGAGTAGATACGCGAGGCCTCTGTTGCAGGACTTTATCTTCACTTGTTCAATGTTCATCTTTCACCTTCTATTCTTTAGTATCTCAAGTATGAAACAGGTTGAATTCTCACTCAGTGTCCCTTATAGTCTCTGGCTATCTTCTCTGAATAAGGCTCATTGCTTGGTTCCATGGGACTTGGATGATGTCTTCCTATCGAGGGCTGAGATAGCAGAATGGAGTGGATATTCTAGACCATGAGGTATACATGGTGCTACCTAGACATTGAGGAGCCCAGCCTGGGCCTCACCTCACAGCTAGTCATGGGCCTCCCAGAATCCACTTGTTTGACACCCATAAAGCCTTCTTTGTTAGAGATTTGAGTGTTGGAGGCATCCGTTCAACTACTGGAATCTGTTCTCCTTTCCTCCTCCCCACGAAGTGACATGCTTTCTTAGCCAGGTTTTATCAGCTTTGGTTCTGGTCTAAATGATGTGGCTTTGGAGACTGTGCAATAGCTGTGGGTCTGTAGTGGGTTGGGATGGAAGACACCAGACATCTTCACACTGAAATCAGCCAGGGTCTGCCCAGATTTGCCTTGTTGGGTTTTTCTCTTTCTCCTTCTCTCTCTGTCTCTCTCTTTCTTTTTCTTTGTTTTCTTTCATCCTTCACTTCCTTCTTTCCTTCCTTCCCTCTTATTCCCTCCCTCTGTACTTTCTTGTCTTGTCTTTCTCCTGGAAATGTCAGAGTTTTGGCAGTGTGCTTTCATTGAGGCATACCTCTAGTCCTCTTTTTTGGTGCATGATTTTTTTCATATGATTGTATGTTTACATTTGTTCTGGTGATAGGGCTTGAACTCAGGACCTGGGTACTGTCCCTGAGAATATTTTGCTCAAGGCTGGTATTCTACCACTTGAGCTCTACCTCTCCACTTCCAGCTTTTTGCTGGTTAGTTGGAGATAAGAGTCTCATGGACTTTTCTGTCTTGGCTGGCTTTGAACCTCAATCCTCAGATCTCAGTCTCCTAAGTAGCTAGCAGTACAAACATGAACTACTGGTTCCTGGTCTGTGCTGGTTACTTCTGAGCCAGGGTCTATCTTCATGCTGGGTGTTGCTTCTAGAGCACAATCGTCCTGGATTTCACTGTCCAGTGTATCTTTGATGACAGACATGTTTGACCATGCCTAACTCCCACTGAAATAGCTCCTGAAGACTTTCTGCTTGAGTTAGCCTGGAATCACAATTCTCCCAATATCAGCCTCTCAAAGCAAAGTAGCTAGGATCATGGGTGAGTCACTGGCACCTGGCTAGCCCTTTGATCTTTGAGTCCTTTTATTTGGTCACTGAAAATATAGTACACAGTATAGTTAAGGATTAGCTTAGTCATTTCCACTACGGGGCCACAGAGTATGGGTTCAGGTGCCTGCTTTCAAAGTTAGTGCTTTCTGCTACAGAAGAATGATAAGCATGTATCTGTCCTTTCTTTCTGGTTCACTTTTCACGGAGTCCCCTTGCAGTCAGGATTTGCTGTGTTACAGAGTAAGACCTGGGATGTCTTTCTGCAGACACTGGCAAGTCCTGGCCTCCCTGTTCTGCTAGATCTCTCCTCTGTGCTAACAGAGATAAGGAGGGGCTTCTCTGTGAAAGAAGAGCAAGTCTGTGCAGACAACACAGGATAGGGCCTTGAGCAGGGAGTTTGGGGCCAATTCCCAGTCAGCACAGAGTGACAGGCTGATTCCAGCCCTGGGAGGGTTTTGTTTTTTTTTTGTGTGTATATTGTAATGTCTATTTTATATAAAGAATCTTACATAGTGATCAGAATTTTCTTCAGTATAAGGAACTGAAGAGCTTCCTTCCCAGAGCTGGGGGACTACATAGACTAGAACGTGCCCTGGCCTTTGACTCCCCCAAGAACAGAGTGTTCTTAAAGGAAGGCTACTTGGTCCAATGGGCAGAAGATCTGATCTGCATTCTTCTTCTTACTCACAGAGCTTGAACAAGATCTCCACCTATATGAAGACCAGCCGCTTTCTCTCTAGACCTGTGTTTACGAAGATGGCCCTGTGGAACCCCAAATAGGACGCACAGCTGTCCTTACTGGCTCTGGGACCTTGGAAACAGATCCAGACCAGACCTGCAACTTGAGACAGTTTTATCATCCTTTCCCTGAAAAACCTAAGCAATTCCATTGTACTTAAGACTCAATCTCAGTTCTGCGACTTAACCCATGGCCCACTTTAGCCCCAATGCTAGGAATTTTTGACAGAAAGCCAGGCACAATTCTTGGAGCCATAGATGGCGTTTGCTTAAGGCAGGTGTTAGCCCCCAAGTGACTTTGCCCCTGAGTGACCATGAGCTAAGAGTTTCAGTTAAAACTATATAATGTTCCCACCAACCGGTTCTTCAGAGCCCAGAACAAAACATGCCATGCATACTGTTGGTCCAGGTATGACTCATAACCATTTGTGGTCAAGCTGTGGACCAAGGATATTTTTTGTAAAGGTCAACCAATCGTATTTGCCCACCTTAGCTTGTTTGAAATGTTAACCAATCATGTAATTTCTTATGTAAAACTTCCTTAAAGTTGTTTGTTCAAAACTATAAAAACTTCGCTGATTTTACGCTCGGGCCTCTTAGCGTCACCAGTTGCCGGGTGTGCGGAGGACTAAGCTGGAGCTTGCAATAAACGACTCTTTGCTGTTTGCATTGATCGTGGTCTCTGGTGGTCTGTGAGGGGGCATCTGAAAATGGGGTACTTCATCCCTTTGCATTTCCTTTTTTTTTCTTCTATTACTTCTACCAGTGCTTTTCATAGAGTTGAAGTCTCAGCTCCTCATTTCTTGAGTAGAATCCTCCCACTCTCCTTGTCCCTGACCTGAAACAGGGTGCCTCTGTTCTGCTTGGAGGAGCTTGAATGGCTCCAATCCCCAGCAATGCCTGGAAGCCCAGCTTCGCCTGCTGTGCAGACCCTATTCCCCAGTATGGGAGCTGCCAGTCCGTGTGACCCCTGGTAAAACTATTCTTGCCTATGTCTTGTCGGTTTTGTGTGTGTGTGTGTGTGTGTGTGTGTGTGTGTGTGTGTGTGTGTGTGACAGTCCAGGGGCTTGAACTCAGGGCCTGGGAGCTGCCCTGGGCTTCTGTGCCTCAGAGCTTTACCACTTGAGCCTCAGCTCTACTTCTGGCTTTTAAGTGATTCATTGCAGATAAGAGTCTCAGGGACTTTCCTGCCCAGGCTGGCTTTGAACAGGGATCTCAGCCAGATCTGAGCCTCCTGAGTAGCTAGCATTATAGGCAGGAGCCTGTCTTGTTTGACTGCCTCTGGGCTGACTGTATTGATGGTGTTGGGGTTCTTTGTTCTGTGTCTGTAGCTGGACTGGCTGATGGGGTTGGACTCTGGGTGATTCAAGGAGATGTGAGCTAGGAGGCAGGGTCAGCATCATGGTTTGGTATGTGGAAACCAAAGACAAAAGAGATGACATTGTTGCAGAAGGTCCAGCAGGAAACAAAACATCCTGCTTCTGCCCCTCCCTAATCCCTTTTGTCCCTCAGATTTCCATAGCCTTCCCCTGACCCTAGGAGGAAGAGAATTTGCAGAAAGGACCTTATTGGGAATTTAAAAAAAATCCAGCCTGGAGTTGGTAGCTCACACCTGTAATCCTCTCTACTCAGGTGGCTGAGTTCTGAGGATCAAGGTTCAAAGCCAGCCAGGACAGAAAAATTCAGGAGACCTTTACTCCAATAAACTACTCCGAAAAATCTGCAAGTGGCACTGTGGCTTAAGTGGTAGAGCACTAGCCTTGAGCACAAAGAGCACAAAGAGACAGTGCCTAGGCCCCAAGTTCAAGCCCAGAACTGGGGAGAAAAATCCACTCAGGATGTTATGAGACCCCCGCCAATAGAAAGACCACTTTCGAATGTTTCATTATAAAAAGGGGCAACCACTCAGGGCAAAGCTCAAAGTATAAAAACCCCTAGATTAAGCCAGGTGCTTGTTGCTCATACCTATAATCCTAGCTACTCAGGAGTCTGAGCTGTGAGGATCATGGTTCAAAGCCAGCCCAGGCAGGAAAGTCCATGAGCCTCTTATCTCTAATTAACCACCAGAAAACTGGAGGTAGCGCTGTGGCTCAAGCGGTAGAGGACTAGCCTTGAGCTGAAGAGGTGAGGGACAGTGCCTAGGTAGTGCCCAGGCCTAGAGTTCAAGCCCCACAACCAACAAAAACAAACAACAATAACATAAAAACCCCTTAGATTGAACCACTTACAGACAGCAGCAGAGACACTTCTGAATGTCTTGAATGAAGGCTGATGCCTTGAAATTGGTCCCTAATACAACAGTTTTCAGAACTAAAGCTTCTGGGAAATTGTGGGATCATAAAGACTCTGACCTCATCAATGGATTAATCTATTTGTGAATGAATACTCAGACTATTAGAAGATTATGGAAACTTTGAGAGGTAGGGCTGAGTCAGAGGAAGTAGATGGTGAAGGAGTGGGTGGGAGACTGAAGAATCTATTTCATTCTAGCCCCTTCCCTTCACTCTTTGCTTCTAGGCATCATGAAATGAGCAGCTTTCTCCATCACCCGTTCCCTGCCATAATATCCTGCCTCTCTCCACAGGCCTAGAAATAACAGAGCCAAGTAATCATGAACTGAAACCATGATCCAAAATAAATATTTTCTTTACATCGATTTTTTTCTCAGACATGTTGTCAAGCAGGCCTACTGAGAGGGACAGATATTTGACCCCACGTAGGTACTTTAGATCGAAGACATCTGGGGCAAAGGACCAGTTGTCCGGAAATCAAGAAAGGACATAAATCACCTTTCTTGTTCTTGTCTAGGCTGGGAGGTTTCAAGTTCTGGTACACATGTTTAGATCAGATTCAAAAGCAGAAGGCAAACCCACCCACCCCAGGATAGGAGGGGTCCAACCAGACCCAAACTCATATCCAATCCAAAAGGCCTTCAACAGTGAGTGATCACTGCTTAACAAATCAAACCAAACATATGTCCCTCACGAGGGAGGGGCCTAAGGGCCAAATATCTAGTGGGAAACAGAAGCCTCTGACTTTTTCTTAATTGGTAACAAGGAAGTGTCCACCCACTAAGGATCCTGCTCATTCTTCCTACCTACTTTCATGGTTGATTTCACCTTCAAGTAAACTTACTCTTTTTACCTTAAACTCTATCCTGCCTTTTCATTCTTAAAAGGGCAGAGAAATGAACCTGAAGTGCCTCTAGACTACTTTAGTAGCACACTGTGAGGTGCACATGGTAGCTTCTGGGTGCTGTGGAGAATAGCCTAATTCTGGGTACCTGGAACCCACTTGTTTGATACACACAATACCCACAATCGATTTGGCAGTTGGAAGTATCAGTGCCAACAGCTGGCTCAGCCTGGAATCTGTTCTTCTTTCCACTTCCTGTGAAGGAATATGCTTTCTCAGATAGCTGCCATCTGCTGTGGTTCTGGTCCAGGCTGAATGGCACTGGGGATTGTGCAAGAGCTGCCTTGACTATGGGAGGAAAGGCTGGAGGGTGAGCCAAATGCTGCAGCCCGAGGCCTGCTGGGGCTTGGGTATAAGCGAGCCTTTAGAAATTATCTTGTCACTTCCTCTTCTGGTAGAAGATCAACAACATATGTGACTGTCCAGCCTAGTCCCTGTATCAGCTCTGGAGATGAGGTCAGGTAGGACACAATGATATTGGGCTCAGGTGTTACAGAGAATTTAGGACTTTTCAGATCTCAAGAATCCTGCCTTTCTTTGTGGGTGTTCTTGAGGTTCCCTTTCATTCAAAATTTACTGAGTCACTGGGAAAGATCTGGGCCCTTTATTAATGTGGAACTGGCATAATCTAGGTTTCTTTCTCCTTAGAAGTCCTTTATCTGTGCAGACACAAGCAAGTGAGAACTTCCTTGGGAAAGAAGAGCATGTCTGTGCAGAAAGACATGCATATATATATATATATATAAATATAAATATATAGTATCATATCTTATATGTGTTACATGTTATATATGTAATATGTATAATGTTACCATATATGTGTGTAAGAACACATACATGCACCAGTACTGAGGCTTGAACTCAAGGCCTCATACTCTTGCTTAGCTTTTCCCATTCAAGGCAGTCACTCTACTCCTTGAGCCACACCTCTACTTCCAACATTTGGCTGGTGAATTACAGTCTCAGATTTGTCTGTCTAGAGTAGGCTTCAAACCTTGATCCTCAGATCTCAGTCTTTTGACAGCTGTGAAGTTTGAGAGTGTGTGTGTGTGTGTGTTAGAATTTGCCAGAGAACCATGCAGACATCCAGGTACAAAGAAAAAAAAAAAGGTTTATTGCCAGTAAATGGGCCCCAAGACCCCTTTTCACAAGAGAGAAGTGAGAAGTGGCTGCTATTGTCTGAGGTGAACTATATAAACTAGGAGGTTTAGGAGGGGCTAGAAGGGGCTAAAATGTGGAGAGCCTGGTGTGGACATGAGGACCAGGGACTTCATCATGGTGGACTAGCATTGATGGCTGCTGCCCAAGTAGTAGATAAGGGGCCCTGTAGCTGCCCACCTGAAGGTCACTCTAAGGGGCTCTTGTTGCCTTATATGGTGGTAGCTGCCCAGCAGAGTGCCATCTCAAGGTACAGGGGGTTGGAGGCTGATTATTTACTACCTTTACTATACTACATGGGCCTAGTGTTGCCTAGCAAAGGAGCATGATAAGCTGTGGAAAGGGGAAGAAGCGTGCTAAGGTATGGGAAGGGAACTCATTGGGCTGTGTGTGTGAACTTGGGAGCTTTAAGTAAGTTTGTGCAGTGTCCCTGAGCTCTTTTTCTCAAGGCTAGTGCTCCACCACTTGATCCATAACTCTACTTATGGCTTTTTGGTGGTTAATTGGAGATAAGAGTCTCTGGTTTGTCTGCATAGGCTGGCTTCAAAGCCTGATGCTCAGATTTCAGCCTTCTGAGTAACTAGGAGTTTAGGTGGGATTATAGGTGCCAGGCTTGAGTGGATATTTTTGAACCTTCTTCCTGAGATCTCTTACCAGAGATCTCTAAGATATCTCTTCCCAGAGCTGGGGAGCTAAGCAGATTGGGTTGTGGCCTGGTACTGGACTCCTTTGGAAATATTATTAGAGTCTCCATGTGCTATTGTTAGAATGAGGTTTAGTCTGACCCCAAAGGAGTTGCAGTCCATGTACCCCTATATTCTATCCCCACTGGCAGGGTCTGAAAATGTTCTACAGCTACCAAATACAGCTGTTTCCTCCCAGGATTTGTTTTTTCCAATTGTGGTCACATGGGGGTATCTAGTGGCATCTTGAAAGAGCAACAGATGGGCATGAGGAGCCAAGATTTGGTATCCTGCCCAGAGCCCTGGCAAGAAGCCAGACTCACTGCACACCTGACCAATCTAACACTTGCTCCTACTTTTTATTTCTTCCTCATACCCATATCCTTATCAGCCCTCTCCCCCTCCCCCTCCATGCCCCCTGACCATATTTCTCAATCATGACACGAAAAGGTTCTGTTTCTACAAAAAAAATCTCCATCCTGACTTTGCTAGTTCTCTCCTAGGGGACTTTTCCCTTGGAGCTCAGCCCCTGGGTCCCAGCCTGGTCCCAAAGACTGTGCTGCCCAGTGTGTGTGGTCCTGTCCTGGATGAGGTCTCTGCCAGGTTCTGTCTGATCCCCAGTGAAGCAGAGCCCC